ATATAAGTATAATATATATATATAAGTATATATATATTATATATAAGTATATATATATAAGAATAAGAGGCCGTTCTTGGATGATGTCTCAACCAAACACGCTCGATACATGCTCACTTTTATGCTACTTGCACAAAAAGGCACATTATTACATCAAAGATTGATCTCAACAACCTGTCTGCTAAAATCTTAAGAACAACTAACAGAGGAAATGTAAATCAAGACTCGATAAAAATGAGCACACAAGAATATAAATTATTAAAATTTAGAATGGTCTACAATAGTCATTACTGAGACACCTCCACAGATTATGAAATGGCACTTATGCACAAACTGAAATGTTTACTAATTTACTTATTCAGGCATTTTTTTGTTTGTTTTTCATTTAAAAAACTTTGAAGGCATAAGTTGTTCTTACTGATTATTAATTTTATTACACAGTCTGTGTTTCCAGTTTTAAGAATCAAAATATGACTTTTGCTTTAAATTGTATTAACTTAAAAAGCTGAAACAGTATTTTCTTAGTTAAATGCACGTGCATATTTTTAAATAATGTATTAAAATTAAAATAATAATTTTATATATATATATAATATAATATATAATATGAAATGTGCTCTAAAATCAAGAAATAATAAGTAGCAATAAATGTTTTATGGACTTTGTAAGTAAATACTTCTATAAATTGAAAACACTGATTCAACTTTTATAGTCATAATCACCTTCTTTGCTTTTTACACAGGTGTTATTTTTTATTATATGTCTTTATTCGGCACCCATTTAATATTGTTTGGTACCTTCATTGAATCTTGCCCCATGCTACCACAAAAAGGAAGAGATGTTGTGTTTATATGTGGTTAGGCTAAAAAGTACTACCCTCTGGAGGCTGAGACAATTTCATATTTTCCTTCAGCGTCATCAAGCGACGTAGCTCTTGAAGAACTGTTTTAATTGTGTATTCTCGTTGCCACTTTGCAAGTACTGGTACACTACGATTATCAACCTGCAGAGTTTGATACATAAAATGTTTGATTCTTTATTATTGATTTAAAAAGGAACTAGATACTTACTGCTCCAGTTGTACTATTGATACAATTCATATTAATCCTGCTTAAAAATCTTACATTTGGAGCATCATCTGGATATCTCTGGCCACAATCAATTTTCAAACTGTACATCCTATTTTCATATGGTGTCTAAAAGTATTATACAATGTTTAAATAATTTATTTGTTTAGTAAAAATATTTGTAATTAGTTAATATTCTTTAGCAGTTACTCTTGATTATAATTATCAATTTTATTTATAGCATTTTAATTTCTATGTACATGATCATAATTCGTTCTACTTTTATTTAAATATGCACAATATGAAATTACAGAAAAATTAAGATATAAATATAAATAATTATATACAAACAATTAAATTAACACAATAAATTCAAGAGTTAAATTAATAAATTTAAATACAATTAAAAATTAAGAAATTACTCTAGGTGGTCCAATTATCATTCCAGTCCAATGTGTAAGAGTCATGTCATCATCGTTTTCCAGGCCCCAACTGATTGTACCATCGCCTACACCTTTCTGACCTTGTTCTAATTCCTCTAATAAACGAAAGTTTCGAGGCACAACTAAAAATATAAAATTATAATTATCTTCTACAAAATTTCAAACATTGTGCGATTAATCAGAAAAGGTATAGCTAGTACAGGTTATGACTATATTTTTGGATAAAGTATAACCTGCCATTCGTTATTATTTTAACAACTTTTTGTTAAATCCATATAAGTTCATTATACAATAAAAATAAAATAGTAATATTTTCAAAAAGTTGACAAATTAAATATTAATTTTAAATACGTATACTGTGTGTGAAAACTTACTAAAAGGATGAAAGAATACATCTTGCATTTGGACGAATGATTTTGTGAGTGTAATTTTTACCATGAAATTTTATAAGCGATTAATTTTAAACTTTGCACGGAATTTTATGATTTCCAAAAAGTTTATTTGTTGTTCGTATCTTTTATCCATAAAACAGATATAAAATACTTACCTACACCGGTAGTGGGTACCGCCATGATATCTTATTTTTGTGATACGCTGTATATTTTTCTAAAGAATATCGAACAACACCAAATAATATACTTCAAACTAATCCACTTCAGGATATGCGACTTAACTAAAACGCAAATCTTTCATCACCCACAGCTAAGCTACGGAAAATAATATCTAATATTCAAGTGAAATTCACTTTGCGAAAATTCAGCCAACCTCCGTGAGGTTGTCTGTTTCCACAAACTACTCACTTTCCAGACGGCTATGCTACATTACATATTTTCAATCCGCAGCCATTTCTAAAATTTTAGACAAGTTTCGTGATCTTCATAAATTTACAATATTTTATATTTCCATGAAATTCCTTTCTAAATTAAAAAAAAAATTATAAATTTTAAGACCTACAGTTTTTTATATGACTTTTAGTTACTGCAATCAAGATTTCTCGCATTAAAATTTAAAGACAGTATTTTCGAAAAAAAATATTTTTCCCAATAATTTTACGCATATGATGTTCAATAAAAATATCTTATCAATTCCTATAAATCATATTGTAATCATGACAATTTTTCACATAATATTTGTAATCAAATCACTGACGGATTTCAGCTCTCAAAGGCCCCTGGCATAACAGATGTTTGGGCTCTGTACTGGAAAAGCCTAGTAGACGTATGTGTATTCTATTGAGACGTATATTCCTAAATCTCTAAATTGCTAGAAGCCCTAGAAACTCCTAGATGTTTAAAATCCCCAAATTCCTAGAAACTTGAAACATCTAGATGTCTGAAACCTTTAGTACCCTATGTTGCTATATTTCAATAACAGAAAAAAAGGGATTCATATTATCATGTCATCGGAAGACAATTAGGATGATAAATATGAAAATAAGACATAAATAAGACATAGATATGAAAAAAAATATTAAATGAAATTTATTATATGATGTACATAAGATTTTTGAGGGACTGAATCAGACATATATTATGTTGTGATTAGGATTAGGGCGCTTTGTGTTTTTGGTACGGTCATGAACAATACGAATAGTATAGAGAGGAAGGTTGGTACAAATGGCGTCGACCAGTAGTGGGGAGGAAGTCGGTAGTGTCGGACCGGCTGCGCAAGAGCAGCCTGCAAGACGGATTTTCCAATAATGAACAGCCCGTGGTAACTGTCAGTTCGCTCGTGGTGCATTCGTTGACTCTTGCTGCGCACAGTGTGTCCCGGCGTGTGTTAAAATGTGCTGTACGATTAATTGAATATACTCTCCACCGAACGCGGATTACTCGAAGAACACCGGGAATCCTGCTGTAAGACAGGTAAGTGGAGAAAAAAGAATTTGTATTTTTCATATACAAAGGGGCTGCTCTGAGAGCCGTGTGTGCTGTTTGACATGCGAACAGATACACCTACCGGGGTGCTCACCATAATAAACAAACGAACGCCATTGACCTTTACCTGCGCATTGTTGCTAATTTCTAGATAGTTAAAAGGATCGTGTTTCGGACTAATAAAAACAGTTTATTCTTGTCAATTTAAGTCGATTTTGCATAATTTTGCTTTTTAATCGGGGGTTGTGTCGTTTCGAAGATCCTTGCAAAAGGGACAACAAACAAGAAATACCGATAAGTTGAACTTGAAATATGTGTTTTTTTGTTGGGAAGATACTTAACGGTGAATGAAGTAATATAAAATGGTGAATTATATGTTCACGCAGAGTTCAAATCCATTTGCAATGCTATCCAGCAGTTGAATAGTATTTGTTTACAATGATTAATTATATCAGTTTCTGGTGTTTGATGACGAAATTCAATTTAAATAGAAAACTCGATATCATTATTTTATTTTTGACTAACGTATGATTAAATAGCACAAAAATTGCTCCTCTTTTTTATCGCGTAAAGGTGGCGCCTTGAAACAATTCAATTTTGAAATAGCAGCTGTCAAATCCTTTTATCAAAGCATGAAATAAACAGTATACTCATTTGCCGTCCGCGTTGTATATTAAAAACAAAGCAGTGTAGGAGCGTTTATGTTTAACAACACGCGTTTTGTAAATGTACACTATTATCGTGTTACAACGAATGTTCTAGTGGTTACATTATGAAGGCGGCGGTAAATGTTCGCGAGAATCGAACAGAACGATAATTGCTATCATTGCAATTATGATCAAGTTTCGATAGTTCTTGGTAATTTCGAATATTTTAGATAAGCGAAATAAATTTTTTTATATAAATTCACGTTCCATTTTTGTAAATACGATGTGTTATTTATGACATTCTGTCATCAGTTATTTATGAAATATCTATTAAACAGGAAGTATCGATACATTATCTTTTGTAATTATTACTCACTTTGAGAATAAAATAAATTCTTAAAATATGTCAGAAATTAATGAGTAACCACGGAATGAACGTGACTAATCAAGCTTGTTTCTCGCTTCGGTGGTTAAATATTGGTAATGAATTATCTCTCAAGAAGGACGAAAGTAATAGTACAAGAAACGCGGTAAAATCGTTCGAGTTCCAAAGAACAATCGTCACCTTGGTTCAGTTGTATACCGTTACTTTAGGAGCGCGATTAACATCGGTAATATTCGATTCTATCGAGCCGTTTGGGCGTGCAGGAGCCATGCAAGGGGGAATCGTGGCGTGCCGTAATACGTACCATCGCCATGACTTTCTTTAATTGTAAATCTGTTGTTGCATGGCGACCCCGGCACGCGCTCGCGACATTGCGTTTGCGAGCTTTCACCGGGAACCGCACGCGCCCACTTTGCAACGTGGATTGACCGTTATCGTTCACATTCGATAACATTTGATGCCAGAAACTATTCTCGATTATACAGGGTATTTCACTAAAGGGTGGATCGCATGAAACCACCCATTTAACCTATCGCGTAATTTAAACGTTAGGATATTCGTGGGCGCGATTTTATTAACCATCCATTCTATTGCAGTACGCCGTGTCTTTGCTTATATCACATGCGTTATACCTTCACGCGCAACATGGCGTTATATTGCCACAAATTGTTTCTGTATTATGTTGTACTACTGCTAAACATGAATTAAAGAACCACTCGTTATATTGCCGTATACTATATACCATTTGTAGTATTAATTACAATGTAGTAATATTATAATTTAAATATTAAAACATTATAAAGAATACAGAAGTATGGACCTGGAAAAACCCAGTGACAGCAATACGTTTAAAAAGGAAATGGGCCAGAAGGATACAAAAATGAGACGACGACAATCATTATTTTGCCAGTGTTCACGATTGAGGTCATTGCCACCGCGGTGTTTCTGGCAATAAAAGGAGCGGTATAGCTTCGAAATTTAAACGGGGGGTGTCTCTCCTCCCCCCTCTATTTTCCTCTCTTTTTTATCGTTTCATCAAACAAAACGAGGAAACGAGCAGGCGCGTGTAACCGCGTGTGTTAAAGCGTCTTTGGATGCGACGCGATAAGCGGTGGTTCAAGAGGTTGTTTTATCTTTGTGAGATTCACCGAACAGTCTGTGTATTGTGTCTCGTGGAACAGACAACGACACGCTTTAGAAAATGGGCGGAAAAAAAGAAGAGAGATAGAGGAGTCGTGTGTCCGTGTTCCCGTGTACGGGTCCATAGGATTTCGCGTGCGCGCGCGAGCGTAAGAAAAAAGAAAAAATTAAAAAATAAAAAAAGAGAGAAGAAGACATGTTAATGTATCAAATGTGGGTGCCGAAAACCATTTTCTGTCTTGCGGACACTTAGCATCCTCCGCCCACCGACGACATTTAAAAGATACGGGATCGTGTGCGTCAGTGTATCTTTAAATACTACAAGATGTGTCTGTGTTCTGGATAGACTTGCGTCAAACGTGGCATTAGAAGCGGCTTAGAGATGAAATAACGCTTTAATGGAATTCTGTAACGTGGATCTACTTCGACTTCGGAAGCTTCAGTCTTCGAAGCTTCTTGTATGACGAAGTCGGAACTTTACTGCACCAAAATAGGATTTGGGAACATTCTGTTTTCGGTCTGTTTACATTTCACAAAATTTGTGCTATACAAGGCTCTTGTTATATTGCCGCGGAAGTTTTAATGGTGGAACGTTTCTGAAACTGGCAATGTATTTGGGTATTTGGAATATTGGAATTTGGGGATTTAGGGATCTAGGGATTTAAGGATCTAGGAATCTAGGTATTTAGGAATCTGGGAATTTTGGGATTTTGGTATTTAGGGATTTGGGATCTAGGAATCTAGGGATTTAGGAATCTGGGAATTTTAAGATTTTGGTATTTAGGGATTTGGGATCTAGGAATTTAGGGATTTAGGAATCTGGGAATTTTAAGATTTTGGTATTTAGGGATTTGGGATCTAGGAATCTGGGGATTTGGGAATCTAGGGATTTTGGCATCTGGGGATTTAGGGACCTAGGAATCTGGGGATTTTGGGATTTATGGACTTTGGAATGTAGGGATTTTGGTATCTAGGAATTTGCTGATTTGGGGATCTGGAGATTTTGGTATCTAGGGATTTTTGTATCTAGGTATTTTGGGATCTAGGAATCTAGGAATTTGGAAAATGCAGCAATCCGGTAATTAAGAAATTTTATAATTTGTGCATACCACGAATGGTGATATAACGCGTGGAATATAAAATACGACTAATTATCTCAAACATAAAAAATATATTATTTTCCTGTATTGGGTTACGTATAAGCATTGTCAGATGCTTTTGAGCGTATCAGCAGCGTTACAAAAGGATCTTTTTATTTTTGGAGTAGCAAAACCAGTCAGGCATTGTGAAATGCAATGATACTTTCACTTTTGGAAGCAGAGTCTATTAGCCGTAACGCAAGCGTACGTGTACACACGCTATCGTATCGATCGATTTAAATACAGTGGGTGATCAAATCATCAGCGAAAAAGTTTGCTATCTTCAACCTTATACTCTTTCGCGTAATATCTTGAAATTTGAAATATCGTCGAGGTAGAATTCAATATTCTTCTCCGTATCTGACTATTGAAATTCTTCGTTGAAAAGTCGAGGAAAAGTTCCGAGCAAATCTGAATAAAATATTAATTGCCTTTGATACATTCAGAGAGATTTATGACTCAATGTTACTGATAATTTCAACAAGTTATGCCGCGGTAGCTATTATGATTTCACCGAGAACAAGCGAATAAAATTTATTTAAAGAACTAGTAAGTTTTACATGAAGTTCAGAAAATCTTTGATTCTGATTAATTCTCATAAATACCGATAATCACGTCGATAGGGGAATTTAGAGAAAAATGATCGGAATGCGCGAACGGTGTACGCAGTATTTGTTCAGGCATCGTCACAATGACTTTTTCTCTGAAATTCCGAACCACGGCGAAGCCCGAGGAATAGTTAATTGGGAAAAGCGACGTCGCATAAATTTTTAATCGCGCGCATCCCGACCAAGCGGTAAGTAGTGTCTCGTAGCAACCTGTACACTTTACGAGGTCAGTGATTACATTAATTAGGCGCGACGATGTATTTTCACGAGGGAAGAACGAGCGGATTTTGATGGCGGCGGAGCCTCTTTGAGATTGTTTTCGTGGCACTTAAAAAACTTTTCGTCCGCCCACTCGTGTCCCTTCGTTGGCCGCATTGTGAACAGAGAATCGTTCCGAAAGTTTCTAGATAAAACGGAGGAGCTCGACTAGCCTGGAAGAATTTCTTTATTACGATTTCTCGAAATACCCTCTCCTCTTTGCATTCTTTTCGAGCGTGTTTTAAATGCAAAACACTTCCCTGGAAACGGAGTCGCGCGTTCAAACGCCGCCCATTAACGGACGGATTTTCTGCTGTCTTTCATTGTACCACGATTATGCTGATAACTTTCGAAAACCGCACGATTATACTCTCTATTCTGATTCTTTGATTTCATGGAATTGAAATATTAGTCAGTTATGTCGTACACAATATATTGATATTATTATTAAAAAATATTTGGAGCAATATTTTTAACTGATGGGGAGCATGTTTAATTGATTTATTATGAGTAATACTTTCTTCGATTTTTGGGGTAGGGAGTGTCTGGGTAGATCTAGGGAAATTTTTGCATTTTTCATAACTGAAGAATATTGGAATTTTTTGGATCTAGATACTTTGGTTTATAGAGAATTTCTTATCCAGACAATTTGTTTTCTAGGGAATTCCACCCTAGTAATTTAGTTGCTAAGGAATTTTTAAGGACGAAATTCGACCCCTGGGAAATTTACAGATGAAATTTAGTTTCCAGGGAATTTTTACTCTAGAATTCGACCACTAGAGAATTTACCGATGCAACTTAGCATCTAGGG